CCTAGAAACCCCACAACTGTCCTGTAAAGGATATGCAACTAACTTAGCTAACGTGGTGAGCTGAACATGTCCCTTGTGTTTAGCTTTGACCTATCGAGGGACTAAACATTTCTTTCTTAATTAACTACCTAAAGGCAGCAGTCGTGATAGTGACCACGTAACAGTCAGGGAAGAGAGGCATGGATAGGTCACCGCGAAGATGTGCAAAGGCGACACGCTTGTTACGAGGAAGTGGGTCAGTTCTTCTTCCTCCAAAAAATCTACCCACTGTCGTTTATTCATATCCACTCACGAGAGGAAAGGTCTTATATAAAGATAAAGTCAAGGGCAATTTTCCACGCTCTCTCGGGCATATAGTGCCTATGGGAAAATACTTATATTTTTTAGACAAACAGACACTCGGTGGTGATGACGTCAACATCAAACCGGACTTCTTTTTTCCCAGAACTGGTACACACTAAAAGCTGGCTGAACCTAAGAGTTAAGGTTTTTTTTTTTTTTTTTTCAAAAAAGGTCCGATTCCGTCAGGTCCCCAACCCACGACCTTCCAGTCCACAGGCAAGCGTCTAGCCGCTAAACCAGGTCGTCTCCCTACGGTGTTAGGGACTTCCCTTAAACACAAAGTCAGTTCTTATTGCCATGATTTTAAGTGGGCTAGGGTAGTAAAACAACAACAGGTTGTTTTTATTATTGACACACTCAGGTCTAGGTTATATTTGTTTAATTTTTTTGTTTTCAAACATAATGTTGTTTACTAATGTGAGGCCGAGAACACACTTAAAATGTAGGTCTTTTTTTTTTTTTATTTATTTTTTTATAAACAAACAAAATAAATTTTAAGGTATGCAGGTCAGGTGGCGTCGGCGCTAGAACCAAGAGGTTCGGGCACCTTGAGCTCTGTTCCCCTGCCCCGAGAATTTTCAGCACAACTACATTTAATGTTATTTATGTATTCATTTATTTATTCATTTTCTGGAAGAATGGACAGAGAGATAGAAACAAGAATACAGAAAGCAAATGCTGTCACATACCAACTATCACCTCTGCTTAAACATCCAGATATAACCATGAAGACCAAAAGACAATTGATAAACACCATCTTCATTCCAACACTCTGCTACCAGTGCCAGACATGGACAATCAACAAGACCCATGAAAGAAAAATAGAAGTCTGTGAAATGAAATGTCTAAGAAAAGCAGCGAATAAGACCAGACTAGACAGGATAAAGAATATAGACATTAGAAACACTGTCAAAACTACACCATGTTTAGACTACATAGAACATCAAAGAATGAAATGGTTTGGACATCTAACCAGGATGAAAAATGATCAAATAACATCACAAATTTTCAACCAAAGAAGCTCAGGATATAAGGCAAGAGGAAGACCAAGGAAACTGTGGATTGACGGGGTCTCCGAAACCTGCCAAAAGCATGGCCTCAGAACATCAGATGCTGCCCGCCTTGCTTATGACAGGAACTTGCATCTCCCCACAACGCTTAGCGGCATACGTGGAAGGAAAAAGTAAAAAGTAAGTATTTATTTAACTTATTTACATCCCTCATCCAAACATTTACTTCTTGTTTTTCATAATCCTTCTTGCTTATTTCATTTCGTAACATAGCCGTGTGTATCCATGTTTCTTTCCTGTTATATAGTTCTTAGTTTCACGTTCACCTTGGGGATTTTAGACGCAAAGTTGTCTTGTCCGTTTAGTGTTGTATCTAGTACTCTGTTGATAAAGACTTTAGTCGAAACGTTTGTGTCGCGTCTTTCCTTTTCCCTGTCTGCGTTCTCATGTTCTCACGTGTACTCTGTACTTTTCTTTGAGAGGCACTGTGGGTTTTCCATGCTGGTGGTACTAAAAGTCACTGTATTGACCGTCACCTAATTTCCATTTTCACGCAGAGGTCGTTCAGAGACTGCCAGAGCTCCATTGTGTTAGCCTCGTCATGTTGTATGTTGTATCTTTCCTTCGGTTGTATGTAAGCTAAACCTATAGAACGTGTAACGCTATCTGTCTAATCAAGTAGTACAAAGTAGAGCCGAGAAACGACTGCAGCCAATATTTCAACATGTTCATGCCCAGCACACTGGCATATCATTAGGAAAAAATTACCTAAAGATTTACTGATAATGATGATTCCTAATTTTAAACAAACACAAATTTAGCTACAGAAAGAGAGAGAGAGAGAGAGAGGGAGAGAGAGAGAGAGAGAGAGAGAGAGAGAGAGAAAGAGAGAGAGAGGGGGTGGGGGGGGGGAGAAAAAGAGAGAGAGAGTGGGAATTGGAATTTCCATAAAATGGTCCTCACGTGCACGCTTTACAACGTATAATGACCACATTCATTTCATGGATGGTGAACGTGGAGGTATGTATAATTACATTCCTTTTGCTGCTGCTAGTATCTCACAGTTAAATAATTTGTAAATAGCTGGCTTCACTTTCTTTAACTTCACCGTGTTCATTACTTTATATACCAGTTTGTGTTTATGACAAAGAGATATAACTCTATATCATTATAATATCGCCCAAGCTAATATAAATTGAGGCTCTCCTTGCAGTACCGGACGAGGGCTGTGGACGCCGGCTGGACGGCGTAGTTTGGTTTAGTGGCCGCACTGGAAACAGTGAGCGGAAAAGTCACCAAACAAATGACATACTTACCTATCATCATACAGTTGCGTGTAGGGTTGCGTACGCTTGCGTGTAGGGTTTCGTTGTCATCCTACGGTTGCGTGTAGGGTTGCGTAGTCATCATACGGGTGCGTGAAGGTTGAGTAGTCATCATACGGTTGCGTAAAGGGTTGCGTAGTCATCATACTGTTGCGTGTAGGGTTGCGTAGGGTTTCGGTTTGGTTTAGGGTTAGGGGTTAGGGTTAGGGTTAGGGGTAGGGTTAGGGGTTAGGGGTAGAGTTAGGGGTAGAGATAAGGGTTGGGGTTAGGGTTAGGGTTAGATGTGAAAATTTTGACGTAGGAGTTCCAAATACTGCCCGACAATCTGATTCCTTTGGAGTGGCGCCACTGACAGTCTGCCAAATATGACGGCAATAGCGCGCGGCTGGTGATCAATCGGTGGCGAATTGTCCGTAGCATCCACAGTCCGTCGACTGTTTGGGTGTGTATGTGACTGTGCGCGATTATAGCGAACTCCTGCGTCAAAATTGTCACATCTAACGCTAAACCTAACCCTAACCCCAACCCTACCCCTAACCCTAACCCTATCCCTAACCCTAACTCTACCCCTAACCCTACCCCTAACCCTAACCGTAACCCTAACGTTACCCCTAACCCTACCGCTAACCCTAACCCTACCCCTAACCACGCGAATTTATCGGTCATTAAAGCATACAGATCAGAAAGAAAAAAAAAACCCAGATTTCTCCTCAACGTCCCAAAAAAAAAAAAAAAACAGATCTGGGGGACACAACCAAGCATTGGCAGCCCTGATATCGACCTTGCTGTCTTCTTTGATTCGTGACTTTTCCGCTCACTGTTTCCAGTGCGGCCAAGGGAGAGAACTCCCACTAAACTGAACTAAGCCGTCCAGCCCCCGTCCGGTACTGCAACGAGAGCCTAAATTGAACAGCCTAGATGTGTCAGTAAGTATATTGACACAAATTACACCATGAACTGGAAGGGGGAAAGGCACAAATACAACCGAATATTGTAAGCAAAGATCGTGTGCGGAATACTTGAACATTTTGATTAAAATAGTCCAGTCTCTAGGTCAGCGCTTGTGTTTTGTTAAGTTAGTTGATGAAACTAATGCATAAAGAATGAAGACATGCGAGTGATTGTGGGATGTATGCGATATGTAATTGAGCTGCCGACTATTGGAGAGTCTAAACGTGCTGCAAACGAGTTCATACCACAGAGTAGTAGCAGGCAAGAAACACTTCTTGCATGAAGATTTATATATAGCCAAGAGACCCAGACTAAAAAGAGGAAGGTCTTGGATGGCACATGCAGAAGAGACAATTAGTCCTGTGTGTGCATGCTTGAAAATATTAGTTCAATTTCTCTGGAATTCATTGAAAATATTAGGCGAGATGTGTGGATGAGAGTGGGTGAGCAACGAGCAGACTTTTGCAGGGTTCTAATTAGACTGTACCGAATATTCGCTTCGTATTCGCTTCGGGGCCGAAATAACTAATAATATAACTATTCGGTATTCGGTCGAATAGATGCGGTTGGGCCGAATACAAATAGTGGTTACCTTACACTTGTTTCTGCATACACAATTCATAGATCAAGTTCTCAGTTACAACCATAGTTCATTGTTCCTTGTTCATTTTTGAGATCATTTCATGGCACTTCAGACATGACGATAAATGCTCCGATCTCCACCTGGGTATGTCTCCAATTGTTTTTAGGCTAAAAACTCCCATTGTGTACTGGTTGATGTAACGACGGGTGGCTCCCGCATTGTTATCCGGTTTTACGTCTCCATTAAAAAAAACCAGGGTATACAGTCTGTACAGTGACCAAATAAAAAAAATCATTTTTTACGAAACTGCAATGCTCACAGAATTTATTCTCTCATATGGCATTGGAGATTTCTTTTCTGTCCAAAGATAGCCTATTCCTGATTTTCGCACTGTCAACTAGATCGTCTGCTCTCTTATTGCCTTTCACACCAGCGTGACCAGGGATAACAATGAAGGTGAATTTGCAAAAAGCTGCCTGCTGTATCAGGTGTAGCCAGTGTATGTACCCCCACAGTAATCTTCCGTAAAAACATGCACTGCTGAGCTCCTTTTGTAATGCGATTATACACCATTTCCAAACACAAATAAACACATGGCACTTGTTACAGTTACAGTAACGGTTATGGTACAACAGGAGTTTATCGATCATCAGTAAAAGGGTCCATCGTCATCAATTGCTTCAGCCCATTGTCCTCCTCGACAATTTCAGAGGGTGAGCCGATCTGGGTCATGATTCCCAGGCATCGGACATCTTCTGTTGCGCTTTAAGGACGTTCGGACAAGTCGAAATGATGGCTTTGCAACAGGCATTTCCTGTTCCTGTTTCTTTTAAAAAAGAATTTAAATCTCGACCACGTTCAACCTTTACAGGCATTGTGCGGTTTGGTGTAATTGGCCTCGAGAGTGTCCTCCACATGGGGTGAGGTCTGGCGAATGGCGCCGCTGCGGCTAAGCTTTGTCGTAAGATCTGCCTACGATGTGTTACCGTCTAGCGTCAACATGGTGAAATGGCATGTGACTACCAACCCGACATGTCCACTTTGCAGAGCTAAGCAGACGCTCGAGCACGTATTGTCCGCGTGCAGAAAAGCCCTAGGCCAGGGAAGATATACTTGGCGCCGAAACAAAGTCCTGAAAGAGTTAGCGGACATTGTGGACCAAGCTAGGCTAAAGGACAACGCGCGGGCCAGTCTTACCGTAACTCCCGAGGCTTCATCGAGGCTTGACACATTTATAAAGGCAAAAATCAACAAGATCGCATACGCTGGATCAGTACTTGACTGTACGAGGGACTGGTTACTGGATGTCAACCTGCCTAGTTTCGAAAGATACCCAGAGTAAATTTGGAAGACCAGCCAGAGACCCGACATATTTCTGTACTCTGGCAAAAACGCTAAAGCAGCTAGGCTTGCAAGGAAACGATCGTAAACGGTCACCTAAATAACTGTGTGAAGCTGCTGAAATAGCTTTGAGCTAGCTCTGGACGCAACAGATCGTCGTGGGGGATATGTCTCGGTAAACTGGTTCAAGTCCCTATCGGAAAAAGGCTTCTTATCCCTTACAGCCAAAGTGTCCGATAAATGTCTGCCGGTGTCTCTCTGCCAAATGCTAAAGTGCAACAATGGTCGACGAACCAACCATACGCTTGTCACTCTGGTCGTAAAGGTAGTCAGCTGATATAATTTGCTACCACAGCGACTTTATAAAACCAAATCTCACAAAACCTGTTGAAAGGTCACCATATTGTCTTGTCCCTATCAAGTCCAATGAAGTGCAGCAGGGGAAGATGGAGGCCTGGCTTCATGGCTTACGTCGCTTACCCTCCGAGTTTGTCTAGGAAATTATTGGGCCGAAACAATCGTCGACAAATGATCTCTCTACTGATGATCGGTGGACTCCTGCTGTGCTTGCTCCCGCGTGGAGTTCTTCTTATGATTAAATTATCTCTGTGGTAGCGAATTGGCCACCTACCTTCACAACCAGAGTGACAATCTAGCAGTTGGTTCATCAGACAGACGTTAGACTTTGGTAATTGGCAAATAGCTGAACTTTCAGAGGTAATGGCGAACTTCTGAACGTAAAATTTGCCTAGAAAAACCACAACAGTCAAAATATACTGGTGTTGGTTCTGCTAGGTCTTGTAAAGAAAACGCAATTAACCTATGTCCATTCGTGCGATTTTTGTGCACTGCTGCTATTACCGTCGCTAATACAATAAAGTGTATGTGTGTATTTATGTGTATGTGATATATATATACATATATATATATATATACATATATATATATATATATATATATATATATATATATATATGTGTGTGTGTGTGTGTGTGTGTGTGTGCATACACATATGTTTCTCGACAGGTAAAGCGCCCCTGTGCTGTTCCTACCGCCTAATCATGTCAGTGCTGTCGTGTTTCGGATTCTTACTCACATTTGCTTCGCGCTTCAACCTCTCATCCGTCATTAACTGTATGGTGAATCAGACGGCCGTCTCGCAACTGTCGGGCGAGGAACTCCGCAAACATTGGCCAAAACCGAATGGGTCTGTTTATGACTTCTGCAGGGAATACCATGAACATCGAGCCAACTCGAGTAGTGTAACTGCATTAGCTGACGCACACCGAGTAAGGCAATCTGTTTTGTTAGTCGCTAAATCTTTGTTTATTTGTATGGCTGTTTGTCGCTTTGTCTATCTGTGTTTTTATTCACTTATATGAGTCTTTGTTTGCTTCACTCTACCTTGCTCTGTCGCCTGCCCCCCTCTGTCTGTTTCTCTTTAGTCATTTTACTATATGTTTCTGTCTCTCCGTGCCTCTCTATCTCCCTCTGCCTCTCTGGGCGTGACCATGTCACTGTTTTTCTCATCATTTGCTTCTCGACAAGAAGAGGACGAATAATAATAAAAAAAAAAAAAAAAAAATAAAAAAAAGGGCAGCAAGGGGTTGAATATGCTATGGATTATAACAACTCAGGAACTTTCCACTTCGCTCTACAATGTGGTTAAAGAACTAGGATTGCGCGGTAATGAACGGAAACGTACACTTAAAAAACTGGGAGAGGTAGCCGAAAGGGCCTCTAGCTGGCTTTGGACGCAAGGCAACAACGTAGGGGACGAGCCTCGGTGAGCTTGTCCGGGTGTCTAGCGGAAATGGGTTTCTCACCCCTTGAAAGTCCATCGTGTCCGAATTGTCTGTCAGTGTTCCTCTGCCACCTGCTAATAAAAGTCCAACATGTGTCCGGTAAACCAAACGTAACTTGTCGTTCGGTCGTCCAGGCACGCTGACTGTTCTAATTAGGCTGCCGCAACGACTTCTTATCTCACAGTACCTTCTGCAAACCACCAAGTCGTCTTGTCCCTATCCGAAAGAAAAACACCATCCGGTAATCTCGTGCAGCAGGGAACCAGCCCTGAGCTTCATGAACTCAGGTGGGCCCACCTCCGAAAGCGTCTAGGAATCGTGGGCCGAAACGCTCGTTGACGAGGATAATTTCTACTGACGACTGGTAGATCCATGCTGTACTTGCTCCCTGTGTGTTTATTCCTATTACGACAGACTTTAGGTAAATAGTGGGTCTTTTCTTGTTTTCATTATAACCACACAGGTAATTTGTTATTCGAAAAAAGATATCCTTGTATTGTTGTATTTAAATACGTCGTATTATCTAAAGTTCGTAACAAGGCCAACACTGTATAGCGTAAAATCAATACAAAGCAGAACATTACAATAGGAACACAATTTTTTTAAAGAAAATAAACAAAATTTAAAAGAAGTATTAATTCAAAAATAATATTCAAATGTCTCCAGCCAAAAGAGGGAGAATTGGTATGGCCAGTTATTGTTCAAAATATTATCCAGATATCCTTCCTCTGCGGCTATTGGACCACACAGATTCCCGGAGGGTTGTTGTCACAAAGGTAAAACTTTAATCATCTGTGTGATTTCTTCCTGTGTCTGTTGTGCGGACCTTTGGAAGAGACTAAGCAATTTCGAGTAAATTACAAGGCAAAGACAATACTCTTACATTGGATAGGACCACTCGAGAAAAACCTGCAAACTATAAAACTAGAAGGGTGTTATACTGCCCACATGGAGGTAGATTTAAAAAAAAAAAGGACAAACAAAAAATACACGGAAAAGGGAACTAGAGGATACAGGTAAACATATATTGATGGTGTAAGTGAGATGAATGCCACAGCAACGAATAAGACGACTATGCGTGAGCTGGTTGAGGGTTTGGGAAAAGACAAAAGAAGAAGAAGAAGAAGAAGAAGAAGAAGAAGAAGAAGAAGAAGAAGAAGAAGAAGAAGAAGAAGAAGAAGAAGAAGAAGAAGAAGAAGAAGAAGAAGAAGAAGAAGAAGAAGAAGAAGAAGAAGAAGAAGAAGAAGAAGCCGCAGAAGCAGGACAGGAGCAGCAGCAGCAGAAGAAACAGCAGATGATGATAATGGTGAGGATAACGATAATAAAGAAGAAAAAGAGGAAGAAGAAGAAGAAGAAGAAGAAGCAGAAGAAGAAGAAGAAGAAGAAGAAGAAGAAGAAGAAGAAGAAGAAGAAGAAGAAGAAGAAGAAGAAGAAGAAGAAGAAGAAGAAGAAGAAGAAGAAGAAGAAGAAGAAGAAGAAGAAGAAGAAGAAGAAGAAGAAGAAAGAAGAAGAAGAAGAAGAAGAAAGAAGAAGAAGAAGAGAAGAATAAGAAGAAGAAGAAGAAGAAGAAGAAGAAGAAGAAGAAGAAGAAGAAGAAGAAGAAGAAGAAGAAGAAGAAGAAAAAGAAGAAGAAGCCGCAGAAGCAGGACAGGAGCAGCAGCAGCAGCAGAAGCAGCAGCAGAAGAAACAGCAGATGATGATAATGGTGAGGATAACGATAATAAAGAAGAAAAAGAGGAAGAAGAAGAAGAAGAAGAAGAAGAAGAAGAAGAAGAAGAAGAAGCAGAAGAAGCAGAAGAAGAAGAAGAAGAAGAAGAAGAAGAAGAAGAAGAAGAAGAAGAAGAAGAAGAAGAAGAAGAAGAAGAAGAAGAAGAAGAAGAAGAAGAAGAAAGAAGAAGAAGAAGAAGAAAGAAGAAGAAGAAAAAAGAAGAAGAAGAAGAAGAAGAAGAAGAAGAAGAAGAAGAAGAAGAAGAAGAAGAAGAAGAAGAAGAAGAAGAAGAAGAAGAAGAAGAAGAACAAGAAGAACAAGAAGAACAAGAAGAAGTTCTTTTTGTTCTTCTTCTTGTTCTTCTTCTTGTTCTTGTTCTTATTCTTCTTCTTCTTTGTCTTCTTCTTCTTCTTCTTCTTCTTCTTCTTCTTCTTCTTCTTCTTCTTCTTCTTCTTCTTCTTCTTCTTTTTCTTTCGTTCGCTTGAAATAAATTATCTATATCTGCAATGTTGTCTCTAGTTTGAACTTCACTGTCTTTTATAATTCACTCAGCGACCCGTCAAGTTTGACTCACACCGATGTTTCTCTTGGCCAAAAGTTTTGCATTGATATGCTGTATTTAGGACAGTCTTGGAGGACAAGATCTGTTGTCTTAGGTGCCAGTCCACATGTGCACATGGCTGATTCGCCGATTTTAAATTGTGTGTACATGTGCCTGCTTGTACACGTGAATATTTTCATGATATGCTGCACCTAATAAACTGTCGTGAACATTTGTATATTTTGTCAAGGTTAGGTGGAAAGCAATTGTTTGGGTGGTGTATGCTAGTGTGCGGTACAATCACCCTGTTCACTCCACTGGCTGCACATACAAGCTACTTGTTAGTGGCAGCTATACGGTTGACCTTAGGTGTCTGTCAGGTGGGTTGTGAATGTGGCTACTTCCACTTAGTTTTAGTATATATCTGTTGAGCTGTCATTCTGGTTGGCTGTCAGTCATTTTGTCTGCCTTTCATTATGTCTGTCTGGTTGTCATTTTGTTTGTCTGCCTGTCATTAGGTCGGCCTGTCATTATGTCTGCCTAATATTGTACTGTGTCTCTTATTGTAACAACAGACTGGTCGTTGTCTGTGTTCACTTATTACAAGACAGTGTTTCACTCAAGCCAGATCCCGCAACTCATCCACATAACAGACTACACCAGCTGATAACAGTTTAACGTTAAAAAATCACAAATCCTCTGGTCTAACAAACACCGTATTACAATCTACAGCATGACACTTACTTGACAGGTCCCGGATGCACTTAGAATGACACGGCCAAGCCTTCGGCGTCCATTGTTGACTTATACACTTCAACAATCAGCCCTCAGTGGGATCAAATCAGCATCACCTTTGTCTCAGACTTCATTCAGCTTGACTTTCATTGCCTGACAATGAGCTTTCAGTACAGACGATCACACTCGGCACCTTTCAGCTCTGGGGCCTTGTAGAATGAATCTCAATTCTGCTATCCCCCTAGTTATCCTGTGTTCACAAGTCCACTTACACATTCACGAGTTAACATTCTCCCATACTTACTTCGTGTCCTGCATCCTAGTGATTTCATAATTCTAACAACAAGTCAAAACGTTTAATTTAATCCTCTGATTCTCATCACTACACTCATTCCGTCTGCCTGTCAATTTGTATGCCTGTCATTTCGTCTGTCTGTAACTCTGGCTGCCTGTCATTCTGCCTGCCTTCATTATGTCTGCCTTTCACTATGTCTGCTCGTCAGTATGCCTGTCATTCCGTCTGCCTGTCATTCTAAGTGTCCGTCATTCTGTCTACCTGTCATTCTGTCTGTTATTTTGTCTGATCTTCATTATATCTGCCTGTCCTATCAGTCTGTCTGCGTGTAATTATGTCTGTCTCTCTGTGATTTCGTCTGGCTGTCATTCAGTCTGCCTGTCATTTTAACTTCTGCCTCTATTAGTCTATCTGTGCGTATGCTTTTCAGATTGCTTGTCTGTCTGTCTTCTGTCTGTATGCCTGTATATAGGTCTCTATGCGCCTGTATATCTGATTTTCTGTCTGTGGGTCTGTCTACCTTTCAACGAGTATTCTATTATGTATAATAATGGAACTAACCGAGCAAACGGCATAGATATATATTCACCAAGTTCTTCTAAGCAAGGGCGAGGACACAAAAAAAAAAAAAAAAACAGGCCCTACCTTCTTTCTCCTTCGTCTTACATTCATCTAGGCAAATGTGTAGAAAGGAGGGGTGGGGTGGGGGTGGGGGGGGGGTGGGTTAATTGACATAATCTTCGTTTCGGAGTATAATAATAATAATAATAATAATAATAATAATAATAATAATAATAATAATAATAATGAGAGAAAGAAGAAGAAAAAGAAGAGGAAGAAGAAGAAGAAGAAGAAGAAGAAGAAGAAGAAGATGATGAAGGATTAGGAGGAGGAGGAAGAAGAGGGAAATGGGAATAATGAGAAAGAGTAAGAGAAAAGAGAAAGAGAAAGATGAGGAAGAAGGAGGAGGAGATGGAGAAAGAAGAAGAACGCGCTGACCTAAACTTATATAGTATTTGAAAATAGATGAAACACATTAACCAGCACCTATAACGAGAATTTATTCACATGGTTAAAAGGCCGATTTTTTTTTTTTTTTAATCCTGCTGGAGGAAAGGTGGAAAAAATGGGGGGGGGGAGGGGGGGGGGGCGGTGGGAGCGTGGGGGGTTCAAAGGGACTGAACTCAAAGGGAACTTCAGGTGTCCCAGCTGCAACTTCGACCCAGACTAAAATTGGTACCCTCTGACATCATAGAAGTTAATGGCAGCTAGGAAGACATTTACCATATGATTCATCAAATAACATTTATTTTGGTAAAAAAAAAAAAAAAGGAAATCAGGGGCCTTGCATCATATGTCTCAATGAGGCGAGACATATAACTTTTACTCTGTTATAGTTGCTGCTGTTTTTTTTTAAGTGCTTTCTAATATCCCACCCCAAACAGGGGAAATCCACAGGTCACAGGACAGTCTAATATTTCGGGGGCGGGGGGGGGGGGGGGGGGGGGGGTGGGGGGGGGGGGGGGGGGGGGGGGGGGGGGGGGGGGGAGGGGGGGGGGGGGGGGGGGGGGGGGGGGGGGGGGGGGGGGGGGGAGGGGGTGTAGACAGGCTGCATGCAGTCGTGGGACCTACGCTGCACTATCTCGTTGGACGTAGGTGTCTTGTGGTTAAGGCCAGTTCTAGATGTGTTTAGATCGTTAAAAGCATAATAAAACTGGGACATACAGTCTTACCACCCTCTAAAAGGTTAGACTGTCCCGTGAGGTCATAAGGGGAGTGGACATTACGAAAGAACCATTTTTTTAAGAGATCACATTGTTAACCGATGTAACACCACTAGGCCTGAACAACGACCTATAAACAC